AAAAGATAAATAAAACAATCAAAAGATAAATAAAACGAATTCATATAGTGATACATGTATGATTATCCTCTTCAATGAATGTAAAATAGTCTTTGAAACCCCCCCCCCTCCACCTCCATGTCACTAGTGTTGCGACTTGAATCAACATCCCGATTCCGTGAACTTTCATAACTACAAGTTTCATAATCTTAAAACAAACGAGGCACAAGCTCCTTTAGTTTTACAATTTCAACATCAAACTTTTCAAAACCATAAATCTTCGGGAAAGCATACTCCATCATTTTGAACTTGTATCTTGGATCTAATACAACTGTAACTCCCATAACTCCATGTATAACTGACCAATATTTATCAAACTTAACAAGCATCATCTCCCCCATTGCTTTTATCACTTCATCTCGATCTTCACTCCATTTACTTAATGCAATTCGTATATCACATATGGATGGGAAAAATACATTAGCCGTAGGATACTTGGCACCCGAAAACATAAAAGTCACCTTATAAAACAGTTGCAATTTTTCACAAATACTTGAAGCTAACTCCCAATCTCTATCTGTAGGTAAACTTCTATATTGTGCTTATCGTTGCTTTAAACTTTTGAAAACATCCTTGTACACTATAGCAACACTCAACATCAAATATGTCGAGTTTCAATGTGTTTTACAATCAAGAGACAATTTTTTTGAGCAATCAATTGCCAAGTGACGAGCCGCTTCTTCAAACTTTTCTATTCTTTTTTGTGTTGCGCTCCAAAAATAAACACTATACCTAATTCTCTCAATTCCATCCCCAATAATAGATAAACCATCTTGAACTATCAAGTTCAAGATGTGTGCACAACATCTCATATGAAATAACTCTCATCCTAAAATCAACGAGTTCAAAGACAACTTGTCTAATAATAAATGAATCATCAGATCATTTGTGCTACAATTATCAACTGTAACTGTTGATATTTTTCTATCAATGTTCCAATCACATAGAGATTCATACAACACATCAACCAGAACTTCAGCAGTATGAGGACAAGGCACGTATATAAACCTAGTAAATAAGTAATTAGAATCAATTTAGTTCTTATATTTAGTACCTAGCTAGCAAAGGTAAGTTTAAAGTACCTCATTATTCGGCTTTGCATCTCCCAATTATCATCGATCAAATGCGATGTGATTGACATGAAACATTTTTTTGATTACTTGACGTCCACATATCTGTTGTAATGACAATCTTGCTTCGATTCTTCTCCAATAGACTGAAATAAATACAACATACAAATTAGAAACCAAATAAATACAAGATTCAAATTAGAAACCGATTAAACAAATAAACATACCGCATTGTTTTTTCTTTCTCGAAGTCATAAATCTTGAGAATATCATTTTTAAGGTATTCCTAGATGGAATCTTAAATAAAGGTTGAAGACCAACCACAAAATTTCGAAACCCAAGATGTTCCACCATTACAAGTGGATATTCATGCACTATTACCATCTCTGCAAGATATTTTCTTGATTTTTCAAGGTCAAAATTTAAGCATGATAGATTTGTTTGTCCATCTGTTGTTTTTTGCACCATCCCAATCACTTGTTGACGTATATCTCTACAGGTTCGCCTTGGACAACTCTTGAAATGATCATGCAAGTGTTGTGTCCCATTCTTACTATTTTCTCCTAATTTTTTTCTTGGAATAACGACACTCTGCCTTATCCTCATCGTTAACATTCACCTTCTCAAAGTGATTCCATACAACTGAAGTAAGTTTTCGCTTTCTACTATTTGTACCAACATTGCTATCATCGATTTGTGTTTGTTCTTCTTCTATGGGTGAAATGGATGGGCCTTGGTTATTTGGCATCGGAGATGATTGAGTCATGTTATTGCTTTCAGCTTGTGATTGTGCTTGTGCCCGTGCATTAGAATTATCATCTATGGATCGTTGACCTTCCATTATTGTTATGAAACAACCTTCATTAAGAAAAGTAGCTATTAATGATCAGAAATGGTATTAGCATTTAGCAGGTGATTTATATGGTTTGAAGTAGTAATAATTAGATAATTAATGTTCTCAACTATCATACAAAAATGGACTTAAGAATGGACTTGCACTTGCTGTAAAATCACCTCGATTCTAAGAATAATAGCTTGATACTTGATAGAAACAATAATAGCAAATCCATAATTAGTAACTATTTAATTAGTAACTATTTTTCCTAAAAATCTTCAGTTTGCAAACAAGATTGAAGACCATTTATCAAACTTGAAACACTAATTTCACATTTATCATTCAGGTACATCCCATCCAGAAGTAGAAATATAAAAGCAACTAAAATTACCCACTACCAAATTAACTGATAAACAAAAACAATACTGAGGAATTAAAAAAACGGATAGATAGCAACACATATAAAAGTGCAGGTTGCATGGACTTGAACGCAGATGGGTGTTGTACTGCAACCATAAGATGTACTCCATGTATCCACATTGAACTGAATGCATAGGAGAGTTGTACCACAACTATAAGGTGTTGTTTCGACTTCTCAGATTTGCTGCCAACAACTGCTAACACACTGAAGAATATGCTAGTAAACATAAAGATGCAAGACCATTAAAATTGATTACAGAAGCTACTACCATGAGTAAAAGAACAAGATTGCAACTGTAAAATTGATTACAGACCATTAAAATTGGTTTACAGAAGCTACTACCATCACATGCTAGTAAACATAAAGATACAAGACTAACCTCAAATACAATCAGATGGGAAGTGACGAGGGAAGGCCAGAACTCGAAAGGGGAAGATCGGCCGTAGAAGTCACTAGGGAAGGGGAAGATAGGCCGACGAAGTGGCGAGGGAAAGGAAGATCGACCGACGAAGTGAAGTCACTATCAGCGGAGCAGGGAAGGTGAAGATCGACGAAGCAAGACTTGAGAGCAGTCGTAAGGAAAGTGACGAGTAGGTCAAGATGTGTTCTCCTAAATCCTAATCTCCTTTAGATATTTTTTTAATTTAATTTAAATTTATTAATATTATATATATATATATATAATTATTTTTAATCTTTATCGGGTCGGGTATCGGGCTAGGTATTCGGATAATCGGGGCGGGGATTACCAAACCCGTCCCCATTCCCGTTTAAAAAATTTGATTTTTCCCCATCCCCGTTGCCGTTTATCATCCTCAAACCCGACCGGTTTAATTCGGTTTTCGGTTTTCCCCGATGGGTTCTGTTTTTTTTGCCATCCCTAGTACAGATACAAGATTTTATATTAAGGGGGCAGTCCCCCAAAATTTTAAGAGGGGACAGATTTATAAAAATCCATGAGGGCGAAAACATATTTTTAATAGAAAATTATAGGAAAAATCTAAAATGCATGGAAGTTTTAAAGTTTTAAGGGAGTAAAAATAATTTTTAATAAAAAAAACACAAAAATATAAAATATATGATAATTTTAAAATCTTAGGAGAGCGACTGCCCGACGTCCCGTCCCTCGGTCCATTATATGACATATAAGCACTTTCAAACCTAAAACCAATTGGAAATATGGAAAACAAATGAAAAGAATAATTTCCGCACAAATCAGGCTAGTTAATTGATCTGCTAAGAAGAAATCTGAGAGTGTGACATGCAGCATGAAAGATATGTTAAATCCATAAATACGATAAGTTTAATGTAAAAATGATTCACATTTGCCGTTTAATTTATCTTGTACAGAGGAGCTCAGATACAATGAAACAAGCATGTGAGAAGGAAGAATCGACTCCATCAGTACAAGATGTTGAATGGAAGGAATAAGATGATGAATATAAACTGCAAAATATTGAGTAAACTGATTGTTGAATGTTGATCTTAGTTCCTAGTGGCAATGTTCCAAGCCCAAAACTCAGAGGCAATGAAACCAAATACGAAGGCGTAATTCAATACGGTGGCGGATGTATTTTACGATCCGGGTGGACATATGTCAATCTTGAAATCTAAATTTTTTTATTTTAATTGTTCATTTTAATGAAAATTTTCATCCTAAAATTTTATTTATACTTATTCAAAATTTATTTTTTATTATTAATATGTATGAGCCCATCTTAAATAATATTTCTGAATCCTCCACATTTCATTATTTACCGTCTCTGGTAGAATATGTTGATTGCATACATTACCATGTGTAGAAAAAGTGCCCGAACAAACTGCAGGCAGATTATCACAACTTGTTAAAGCATCTTTATTAAACATGTTCAAGCCTCAAGGATTGCAATATATTTGTTTAAGCTTAAAACTTAAAATAGGTTTACCAACAACTAGTTGGTCTAATGGGATGATTCACTAGGTTCCTTAAGTAAAGTCAGAGGTTCAAATCCTAGCGTCTGCGAATAGAGCAAACTGGGTTGGGAGGGTTGCCATAACCTCTGTAATACCCGATCTGGATTAGTCAGTCAATAAATCGAATACCACTGATTAATTAAAAAAAAGTTTATACAAAAAAATATCTTTGTCTCTAATGATCGGTGGTGATTGTGGTGGCAATCAACGCTGACAGGAAACAACGATGAGTGATAGTTGTTACATGGATTTTGTTTGCATTCATGAGTCAAATTAATATTTTATCTAAATTTTAAAAAATTAAATTAATATTTTATTTAAAGATTAAATTCAAAATAATATTTTGTTTAAAATTTAGGGGTCAAATTAAATTTACCCATTTTTATTAATGGTTTGTATCATTGATTAATAATTCAATGATGACATATCGAAAATAAAAATGAACAAAATATAACTTTTGTTTAAAGCCGGTGATCAAAATAAGAGACCAAAAATAAAAGGAATCACCAATATAATTTACCACTTTAATTTTTAGGTACAACAATTACACATTAAACATGAAAATAAAAGAAATAAATAGACAAATATTATATTAGAAGTGTGTTGAAAATAAAATTTATATATAAATATATGTAATCCAAAATGTACATTTGCATTCCACCCCCCCCCCCCCAAGATAAATCAGCAAAGCAGTAAAAAGGAAAAAAAAGTTTAAAACAGTAAAAGGAAAAGGGACTATCCCATTTATAAAGCATAAATGTTGAATGTAAGGTCCATCTATTTGTTTTCATATGAGAGCACTCCCATCACTTAATTCACCTTGAGCATCTCTGCTAAAATAATGTGGAGTCCATCCTGATGACACCGGAGTGATATCGGCGGTGTTAGTGAAGCTCGAGGTGATGCTGAAACTGTCCGGTCCGGGCATTGAAGTCCAAACAAATGCCGGTTTGAAAGGTGGAACGTGGGGCACTGCCATGGACACTGATAGAATCTGAAGGATTGCCTGTGTTTTAGGCCTTTCACTTGCAATAGGATGCGAACATGCAAGGCCAAGTAACAACAATCTCTCGGCTTCTTCGACTACATAGTTGCCGCCTAGCCTCTCATCGACTGCCTCGAATATCTTCCCTTCTCTGTGCAGACACCAGACCCAATCTACCAGTAGTAGGAACTCACCTATCTTAGTCCACGGACGTTTCCCGCACACCACTTCTAGCAAAACCGCACCGAATCCGTAAACATCCGACTCCCTGGTGGCCTTTGCGGTGTGGAAACACTCGGGGGCAATGTACCCCATGGTGCCCGGCACTCCTTCGAGCTCCGCGTAAGATGTCTTCTCGTTTTCAATGGCTCGAGCCAACCCGAAATCACCTAACCGGGCATTGAAGTTGGAGTCGAGCATAATGTTGCTAGCCTTAAGGTCCCGGTGCACCACTTTTTGGTCATATTCGTTGTGAAGGTAGTGTAGAGCAGAGGCTACTCCAGATACGATCTTGTACCTTAAACTCCAATCAAGTGTAGTCTTCTCCGGGCCACAAAATATATGAGCGTCTAAGCTCCCATTCGGCATGTAATCATAAACTAAAAGCAGCATGCCGTTCTTGTGACACCATCCTGCAAATTTCAATAAACTTAATATACTTAGGATTGAAGATAACTGGTGCTATAAACTATATACATATATTATATGCCTTTCGATTCTTAGAACTGCAGCTATCTAACTCTTGCATGATGCCATGTGATGCTGCATCGGACAAGACGAATGATAATGATTTCCAACAAACATAAACTTATCATGTTCGGAAATAATTAGTTGTTTATTATAACCCAAAACAGCGACGCTGAATTAATCACGCCTCTTCAAGTGGGAAAAAGTATACTTTATGATCAACTACCAAGTGATGTAGATATTTTAGTAGTTTATTTCAAATAAAAAAATGATAAACATCACAACTAGTTAATAAAATAATATAAATGCCGAGTTTGAATTCAGACTTGTTAAACGTTGTCACTTAAAAATTATTCTGCGAATCAACTAATCTAAGGATAGGTTCTCTCATATTTAAGTATGACAGATATGCAGCAATATTAGATACCTTGTATTTGCATTAAACAGACCATGGAACTGGAAGATTTCATGAAAGAGGGAGAGGGAAGAAGAAATGGCTAGCAATTAATTTGACAGAGAAAGAAAGTTAATTTGGCAATTAACACATATACGACAGTATCTAAATCTCAATGACAACAATGGAGATATAAGTTACCTAACAAGGGGACAAGATGCTTGTGGCGCAACCGATTGATGATGGTAAGCTCAGCCAAGAAATCATCTTTTCCCTTAATGTCACCGGAAAACTTCTTCACCGCGATTTCAAGATTCTCCTTCGGCAGCGACCCTTTATAGACGACCCCGAATCCGCCTTGACCGAGCTTGTGCTTGTCATCAAAGTTGTTGGTGGCCTTTTTCAGATCCCTAAACTTGAACTCCCTGGGAGTCCCGGGAAGACTCTTGAGTGCTCCTAGTATGTTAGGATCAGATCTGGTCTTCCGTTTCTTGTACCGATAATAAATTAATGCTCCGAGAAGGACAAGAACAACTACTGGGACACCAACTGCAATCCCAATCTTGAACGAATTTGATCCTTTGTTCCCACCAGGAAGTATTTCGACAGTCAAGTTCCATCTCAGTACACAGTTGAGCTGAACATGGCTGCCTGTTGATCCCGAAAAGCCGAAATACGAGTATTGTTCGACAACGCTGCTGAGATCAAGATCAGCGCTAAGAACCGGCTTGGATGGTTTGGGAGGTGTCGGGGAAGAAACCTGATCCTGCTCGGCTATGTAAACTTGTATCGACTTGTTCAAGCCATTATATTCAACCCACACAACGTGAAACTTGGTGCCATTGGGAGCAATTTCGATGCCGAAATCGGACAAAGACACTGTCTTTTTAGACCGAACGCTGTTGATGTTTAGACCAATATGGTTGTCATCCGGATCAAAGTCCTGTTTAAAAGTATCGAGTTCGACGGCCACGAGGTTGTTGGAGGAAAGACCATCGGTCGATGAGTTCGTCAGTCCTAGATACTGTCCGAAACTGCCGGGAGGAATGGCGGCGTTTGAGGCAACGAGGAAAGTGACACCTTCTCCGGGAACCGAGTTATTAACTCGAAAGACATTGATAAGAAAAGACGTATTGAACGAAGCTACCTTGCGAACTGTTTTCGTTTTGGAATCTCCATCCCAAAGCTTGAATGTTTGATTGAAGAAGATTCTGCCGGACCTGTCGTTGAGGCTGAAGTTTCCGACGGAATCAGGGGTGATTTGAAGGGCATCGTTGCTGATTGTGGCTGGCTTTATGACGGCGAAACTGTCGTAGTAGGAACTGTCAAATGGCCCAAACGGGTAGGTTTTTGTTTTCAGATTCTGGGTTTCTTCTGCCATAGCCGCCATTAAATGTAAAAACAAGAACCCAGTAAGCCATACCACTTGACCCTTCATTTCTCAAAGCTGCAGCTTCTGGAACCGGTCTTTTTTTCATAAAAAGGATGAAGATGCTGGAAAAAACATCGAGCATCATCAATCTATAGACTTCTTTTACATTGGTTCTTTCTCATTATTTTACTAATTTAATATATACGATGCTCCATCCTGGAAGGAGGGCTGATTTTAATAGAGTTTTTGGTCTTATCGTTTGCAGCTTTCGATTAACAAATTGAGAGCAAAAAACAAAACTTTCCATTTGAAAATTTGGAATTGGAATTTATTTAATAATAACAAAGTTTGTCACTTTATGCATTCATAATTTCAATGCTCTGCTTTTGTAGGAAAACTCCTGTATTTGCCTACTTTATTCATGTTACCTCCAGCCGATGAGATTTTGTTTTCCCTTTATATTTTGGTAAAATACTCAAATGGTCCCCCAACTATAGTGTACTACTTTATTAAGTCCATCAACTATTAAAAATTATAAAACAATCACTTAAATATTTATTATATTCCAAACTCGTCCTTTTTAATTAAAAAATTGGTCGTTTTATAAGCTGAACGCTAACATGATAATCGGGATATAATAGTTGTTTGAGATTATGAGATCTTTTATCATATCACAATTAGTATGTTAACGTTCTGCTTAGAATATTATTATTTTTTAACAAAAAAGGACAAGTTTGAAACATATGAATAGTGAAGTGATCATTTTGTAACTTTTAATAATCGAGGGAATCAACAAACCAACACTCTATAGTTAAAGGATCATTTTATAACTTTTAATAGTTCAAGAACTTAATAAAATGTAATCAAAGAATCATTTATATAATTTACCCTATTTTTTTATTTTATCGATCTTGACTTTAAATATTTAATGATGCTTCTTCAGTCTTATTAAATTTGTCTTTCATTATCGTTTGGTAATCATTTTTTTAAAATTTTAATCGTAATTAATTTAGATATTTTAAATAATTAAATTTTATAATATATATTATTGAGCAAGTCGATTGCGAAAGAAAATTTGTTGGTCGACTCTTTGCTCGTTACTCGCCTCGTTGTTAGTTAAACTCACCGAATTTTATTTTATTTTTTAAACTATAAATCAAATCTACTAATACTATATAGAATTTAATATAAACATAAATTAATAAATTTAACAATAAAATTATCGAAAGAGTGTATGAAATAAATTCAAAGTCTGAACACCAAAATAATAATATATAAATACATTAAAATAATAATTAAGATTTGATTTTTGGGTGTAGTAAAATAATAATTATTAATTTAATATTTTTAATTATTTATTAAAAATTAATATATTAGTAATTTATTATTTTTTATTATCTATTAGTAAATTAGTAATTTTTTAAGATAAATATTGAAAAGTTATAAAAAAAAATTAACGAGTTGTTTGCGAACTTATTGAGTCGATTTGGACTTTGCTCGACTCAACTCGTTAAGATCTCGAGTAGAGCTCGAGTTTGATTCGAGTCAATCCGAGTCAAGCTTTTATCGAGTTTTGACCGAGTTGAGTTTGAGTTGTTCAACTCATTAAGCACCCCTAAATATATATTTAAAAATTATTATATTGAAGTTTTGAAACTATTTTTTTAAAATTTTTTATTAATAATAAATTTCAAATAATAAAAAAATGACTAAAAAAGATCAATGACAATTTTAGTAGGACGAATAGAATGTATGATTTTTTTAAAAAATTATTTAATACTTGAAATTAATTTTTAATTAGCATTGTTTTGGATTTATTTTAAATCTAATTTTCTACTTAGTACATTAATTTGAAATTTATCATATATATCAATATAAAGATTTAGTTTCAATGAAATTTTGTTGATATATCATCTTTAATCAATTAAGTAATACACGTGTCTTTACAGGTATACTTCTCTTTAAACTTGACTATATTAAATATGAAAAAAATTAATTAGGAGTTTTACTACAAATTTGTATGCAATTTCAAACCTTCTGTATTTTAACTTTTCACGAATCAATTTACTTCAGTGGTTAAAGAAATCGTTGTTCTTAAAGTTCACAAGTTCGAACACTAACAATTGTAACATGATAATTGAGCGTTCATTATCAAATGATTGAAAATATTTATAACATATACTACTTTATATTTATGATGCCATTAAGCATCAAAACTTAAAATTTGAATTTTTTAAAATAAAAAACATTTTTTAATTAATTAGTTGTAAAACAACGAGATTATAAAGAAGTTGCAAAATCATTAAATAAATAAAAAAAAATTCTTATTTCATTTTTAATAAAATTAAGTTTGAAGGACATATTTTAAAGTCACATGTTGTCAATGTGATAACTTTTACGTTATAATTTTGTTCATTTTAATAAGTCAACTTTTAATGGTAGTTGATAATGCGTGTATATATATATATAAATATAATTATTTAAATTTAAAATCTTTAAAGGGAATAACATTATATTTTATTATCGAAGTTATTTAATGAATTTATTTCATTAAATTATTAGATATAACATACTATCATAAATGTTTAGTGTTTTTACATGGCATAGCCGACAAACAATTAGCCTAATGACTAATGGTAAATTGGCTTGTACGAGTTTTATGGGCAAAATGGTCAGGACAATGTGTTTAAAAAAATTACCAAAATAATCCAATAACAAGATTATTTCTTCAATTAGGACGTTTGTTATAGTTAAAGCCAAAGACCTCAGGTACTTCATGCAGTTTTAGAAGACTGCATACGTACAATGCGTTTTCAGTCATAGAAGACTCACAAACAACAACACGTCTTTGGTTCGATGGGGAAGACGCATAAACTTCAATGTGTGTGCCCTAAGCTCTCCGTATGTCCGTCCTTTGCATGACAGTGGCAGTGATTGCTATGACAATATATGGGTGTGTGGTTCATCAATAATAATAGAATGATTACTTGACACCAATAATACAATAGCCAAGGAAGAGTTTTTTGGTCTGGTAAGTTTAAATTTAATTGTTTTGTTCTTAGTTTTAATTTTATATATAAATTTAATTTAGTTTATTAGTAGTGTTTTCAGAAAAATAAGATGATTAAAAAAGTGCAAAATTATATTTTTCTATAAAAATTATTATTAATATTATAAATTAAAATATTTGACTGAAGTTGAAGCATATCTACACAAAATTGTCTTTTAAGGCTAGATGATCAACCTATTTCTAATCATTTGGAAGCACTTGTATTATTATTGAGTAATTATTTTATTTGAGAACGATAAACTAATAGTCATTTAGCCTATTAATTGTCATAACTTTATAATATAATTAATTCTAATTCCATGAATTAATTAATTGCAAGATGAAGAGCAATGAGTCCTATGTAATCGAGTGAATGTATGCGATAAGCCACATTATCATATTGTTCAGAATTTGGAAATGACGAGATTTTACGATGTCATATTTTTTTGAGAGTACAAGATGATCACCGATTTGTTCAATGCATTGATTGAACTGTGTAGACCAAAAACTCATACATTTCATATTCCGTGTGAAAAATGCACGATTACTCTGAAGGATGTGGTATTGCAACTCGGGGTCGCAATAAATTAGATGGCAATGGTGGGTCAAAATGATTTATATGTTTTAATTTTATAAATTGTCAAATGGTCAATTTCAAGTTTAATAGGTTACAAAACATTTCATTTAATAGGTTTATACATCAAATTCATTAAAAAATAAATTGACAAAATAAAACATTCATTCAAATACAGATAGATAAGAAATTCAAATATTCATTAAAATACAAATAATGTGATTACTAAGCCTTGTATCTTTGTAGGTTTTGATAATTTGTTTAAATGACATTCATCCCTATATTGTCCACTTCAGTTGACTTTTCTCTTTAATATAGATATTCATAATGGTATGAATACGAGTGGACTTATGTCGAGTTGACTTTTCTCTTTAATATAGATATTCATAATGGTATGAATACGAGTGGACTTATGTCGATCCTTTAAATTTCTACGAAGTATTGGATTTGACATCCATTCATCAAGATCCTTTTTTAGCTAATATGATTCATTTGAGATCTATCTGAACTCATAATTGTATACATTTAATATCCTCTACATGTTAAATCACTCGTCAATATAGGTATATATGTTTGTTCCGATATGCATACATGCAAAAACTGTATGAGCACATGAATATCTTCATGCATGAAAGCGAACACAATCATATCATCTTTTTTCCCTGATAAATAGATCTGAATAACATTAAACTCAAGAAACTATCGATACAAAAACACAACTAGAAACCTTAAGAACCATACCTAATCCTCACAGTTCCAGTTAGAACAAATCCTTCAATAACCATCCCTCAATCTATTAACATTAGTAACATTAACCTAACAATTTTCTTCAACCAGACAACAACTTCAGCACTAAAGACAGTAAAGACTTACCCCGCAACTTGCAGGCCCACACAAGCTCTCAATCCCAGCTCATAACATTCCTATACAAATAGAACAAATGCATAATCTCCTCTTAGACCTTCCTAGAGAAATCACATTGAAAAATTAAGTGATCACAAGACTCCAGATCACGTCTACACATGACACATAAATCATCGACCTGCAAACCAAAAGCAATAAGCCTATATTTAGTAGGAAGACGATCCAAAACCACCATCCAAGCTAAGGTTGAAAGCTTAGGAATGTGAGTCGAATGCCACACCGAATGCTCCCAACAGACCTTCTACCCCTAGGCCAAATCTCACTCTAATACAACTATCTAACGAGAATAAAGCCCTAAGGAACCATTAGAAACCAGCTACTTTACTTTGAAGGCGTAACAAGAAATTCTATGTCCAACTGCAGCCTTAAGGACCCTCGATCTGCTAGAAAAAGTCCTTGATAAGAACATAAAAATGGATCCATGCAATCTATATCAAACCCTCCTTAAGGATCTTTCTAATCAAAATGAGGAAACAAGCCTGACTCCACCAAAAAAGTCCTTGAGCCCAACCAAGACCCCCATCCAATTTCGAACAACAAATGTTAGACCAATCGATCTTAGCACCCTTAGTAGGCTTGTTTCCCCTTTCCAAAAGAATCGAGTGCACATTT